GGTAGATATATATAGGTAACTACCAGTCTATTTTGCCACTATTGGTGTAATTTAACTTTAATTGTGATACAATGTGCACTAGTAGTGTAAATAAAAAAGAGCTCTTAGTAACATCAAAACAAGCAAAGAAATTGGCATGCACTGTAGTGTACATTTTGTCACTATTTAACACATTAAGGGGTAATAAACACACGCATTAAGTTTTTCTACCCGTTTAATTTATTTTAATAATAAATAGTGTGAATGTACAATTGGCGTCTCCGAAATGTGAACGATTTTTTGTTGTCATGGATTTTTTTCATAAAATTTATTCGTTCATTCCTGGCTTCGGCCAGTGGTGTTACATATAGAAGGGAGAATACTAAGAATAAGAACAATATCCTAAATCGTTCTATTTTTTTAATAATATTTAAACAAACAATAATATAAACAATATAACAAATAAATTAACTTTAATTTGGTTTTATACAACAATATAAATTAACAAGTAGGTAAATACACAATAAAAATAACATATCTAAATTAACATATTGCTCAAGAAAATTGGTGTTTAAGTGAAATAGCTGCAGATTTAAATGTCAGTAAAAGCTGCATATTTTATATCAAAAAACGTTGGCAAGAACAACAAAGATTGAGAAGACCTATCAGGCAAGGTAAAATCTCCAACGAAAATGAAGACAATGCTCTTGTCGCACATATTAGGCAAAATCCTTTCAATAGCGCAGTAAAGGCCCGAGAAGATACACAATTTTCTGGATCTCTTCGAACAGCTCAAAAAAGATTGAAACAAGCTGGCTTAAAAAACTGTGCTTCTAAGCTATTTTAATACTTAATTGCAGAGCCATTAGCTGCCATAACCCTTTGCAACCTTCTTGGCATGGACATTATTAGCTCACGCATGTCGTATGACTCAGCAAGCTCATCCCAAGAATTTTCAACAGCACTCCATAGTTCATCTCGGTTTGCTGGCCTAAAGTCCCGTTGATATATATTTTTAACTATAAAACCCCACACGTTTTCAATGGGGTTTAAGTCAGGGCTTTTAGCTGGCCATGGCAAAACAGTTATGTGGTTGTTGTTTCCCACTCTGTAACCACGCGAGCTGTGTGAACTGGTGCATTGTCCTGTAATGTAATATTTATTAGAATCGTTTTTGAATACTATCATGTTGGAATATAAAGTTTTCTGGAAACACATGTCTAACTGAAGGTAGCATAACGTTGCCCAAAATCCTCGTATAGTGCTCAGCCGTTAATCTACCATCAATTTCCCAACATACTCCCGGACCATGGGTGCTTATCCACGCCCAAACATTTATGGAAAAGCGTCCACTATTTGAGGTTCTTAATGTATAGTTCTCCTCAAATCTTGCGTTTCTTGGACGATATACACGCAGCCTTCCATTATTGCAAGATTGGAACGTTTTTTCATCCGAAAATATAACATTATTCAAAAAATCGTCTCCATAATTTAAATAGTCATTGGCGAACTGGACTCTCCTGCGCTTATTTTCGTCAGTTAAAAAAACCTTATGAGCAGCAGCACAGTTTTTTAAACCAGCTTGTTTCAATCTTTTTTGAGCTGTTCGAAGAGATCCTGGAAATTGTGTATCTTCTCGGGCCTTTACTGCTCTATTGAAAGGATTTTGCCTAATATGTGCGACAAGAGCATTGTCTTCATTTTCGTTGGAGATTTTTCCTACACCTTGCCTGATAGGTCTTCTTAATCTTTGTTGTTCTTGCCAACGTTTTTTGATATAAAATATGCAGCTTTTACTGACATTTAAATCTGCAGCTACTTCACTTAAAGACCAATTTTCTTCTAATTTGGCTATTGCCCTGGACCTCTGAGCCTCGGTTAAGTGGGGTGGCATTTTTAATATTGCAATTGACAACTATTATCAAATTTGACAACGACCGACGACACTGATGCAAAGCCCATATTATACGATTAAATTTTGCCGTTCACATTTCGGAGACGCCAATTGTACCTATGAATAATGTTAATATTCTTTAAATGTGTTTAATAAAGTTAATAAGCACTAAATGCTACCTAGTGTATTTTGCAGTGTAACTTTTACAATTACAAATCAACTCTAATATTTTTACCCCTACACTAAAAAATTTACACGGGCAAATTTTTTTACTGTGTACTTACCTATTATTGATCCATAACAGCTTGCAAATGAAACAAGTAAACATATATGTATATAACAACCGCAGGGCGTTATTATAATGCCCGCAAATTTAATTCCACACATCATACAAAATGCAGCCGAAGCTGCAGAAAATTTGTATTTTCTATCACTAACTATAAAAGTAAGCTTTAAATCCAAAATAAAAATTAAATTTTCCCGAAAATAATGCCGAACCAAGAACAGAATGATCCGCTCCTGCGATGACGCCCTCTGTGCTTCGCCAACGTTCGAAAGTGAAGAAAATTTCCTTATTTGCATTTTGATGTGATACTATTGAAGAATTATTCACTTTTACCTTTTCAATTGAGGTTGTTGTTTTTTGAGAAAAAACCTTGCCTCCGCTACGGTCGAACTTCCACTTTCCATGAATTTTTAACGTTTTAAAAGAAGTACCTGCTCCAACAAGAAGAGTAGATAACGTATGCCGCAGACAGTATTTGCTGAGCTGTGCAGCCATTGTTTCTGGATGTAAAAAAAAATCGTCGCTCCTTTATACCTATCGATCTTAATGCTACGTACTGTCTAACTATATTTTGTTTTCTGCCTTTTTAACAATGGTGAAGCTTTTTGATGTTTTAGCTTAGTTTCTGGTATCGTAACAAGTTAAACAGACCCTTTATCTTCGATATCGTCAATAATCATTTTATACATCTCATCTCTTCTCAACCCACCAAAACCCCCCACAATTACTTCTTTACCCAAAAAATAAGCATGTTTTATAAAAGTTAAAACTTGATCTTCTTCTAAAACTAGATTTCTTAGGTTAGTATACTAACTAAAGGATATATCCTTTAGAGTCTAAAGTTTAGACTTTACTTTCAGAAATGATATCAAACGATGGAAATTTGAAATGTCAATATTTTTATTTACAATCAACGTCCATCTAAGCATCGAGTACTTGGTCCATAGAGAGTTAGGGGAATATTTTTCCGACTAAAATAGAATAATATTTAGTTCTAAGAATTAAAATCGAAATTAAAACTTACCAGTTCCTGGAAGTAGGCCATTAAAACGGTCTCGTTAATATTACCGATGCTGCTTTTTTCTTTCCAAACAAAAAATATGGCGAAATCTTAGCCCTCGAGGCTCGAGGCTCGAGCTAGTTTTGCCTTCGGAAATTAGTGCCTACATAATGGCCTTGTTACATAAATATTTATTAAAATTTGACAGATTTTATTTATTTATTGGAGTAGATAAAATATAGTATTATACTCGAGATTAGATGATTTAAGTCTCTCGTCTGGCGACTTGAGACGCAAACCTCATCCTCCTGGATAATAACTACTATAGCCACTATTACACAGTACAACATGAAAAATTTTAACAGATTTTAAATATAAAGGTTAAAAAACGTACCCGTGTCTCACCGTTTCACGAAATCACGTCATTTAAATTTTTTACACAGCCATTCTTATTATTTTAACCTAAACAGATTTTTAATTCTCTATTTTGTTATAAATCATTTATTTTCTTCAAATATTTTATGGTTTTACAAAATACAAAAATTATACTTAAAGAAAATAAGTCTTAATTTTTGATTTTTTTTTAATAAAACAACAGATTTGTATTTATCTTAAATATTATTAAATATTAAATATATGTTGCAAACAAATCTTGATCTTTTAGTTTGACGATTATACATTGCTTTCGAATCTATAGTGGTATCACAACCTAAAAACACCACTTGATATACCGGGTGTTTGACATTCGTGGTCCATTGGAAGTTTTTGGGGAACGAAAAAAATATCGATATGAAATTTAAAAGCGTTTATAATCAATTAAGTCTATTTTTTAAATATTTTAAACGAAATGCCACTTCCGGTTTGACCGGAAGTGACATCAACTTTGTTATTTCAAATAGAACACCCCATATATTTTTACATTTTTAAATTTTACAAAAAAATCTGAATTAAATTACTATACCATGTCCAATACCTGAAGTGAATAATTTTCTAGATTTTTCAACAAATTACCCGAGAAAACCCAGGGCAAATTGGGCTAAGTTGAAACGTTAATAACTTTTTATTTTAAATGTAACACCCGGTATGTTAAGGAATTGACATGAAGTCTTTTAAACAATGTTTTAAGATTTCAAAAATTCAACCCCCATTTCCGCAAACCTAATAGCAAGAAAGTTATAGGCTATTTTTCATTGACGCGCATTTGCCATATTTTGACGGAAAAATTAATAACTCGAAAGCTATTTACTTTAGGTATAGGACATGGTACAGTAATTTTACATACATTTTATGTAGAATTTAAAACTATAAAAATGTATGGGGTGTTCTATTTAAAATAACAAAGTTGATGTCACTTCCGGTCAAACCGGAAGTGGAATTTTTAAAAAAAATAGCCTTAATTGGATTATATACGGTTTAAAAATTTCAAATCGATGTCTTTTGCCTTTCCTCAGAAACTCTCAATGGACCACGAACGTAAAATACCCGTATTTCGTAAATGTGCAACACCCTGTATATAATTAAAATAATTTTAAAATAAATAAATAATTTTAATGGTTGTCCATTTAATTGGTAAATAAATTTTTCATAAAAATATACTGCCTAGCTGTTATCGAAGCTGTTATATTATGTGCCGAATATCGTGCACAAAAATTACATGATCTGAAAAAACGCCGAGGCACGGGTATCATTTTTTAAGTCTATTTTCAAAATCTATAGAAGTTTGTTATGGGAGGGAAAAAAATCAAATTATGTCGTACTGTGTTATTAATAAATTGTAGCTTACTTCCCAATAATTGGAATATTCTTAAATTCATGTTTTTAAAAGATATTTTTTATTTTAGCCAATGTTCGTGATCTGTTCGAAATCCTGATGCAGCGCGATGCTCTCGACGACAACAGATTAGGAATTCACCAGGTCGTCAGGAAGCAGAGCAGATCCCCGCAACTCCGACTCAGATTCGGAAAACGAGCGGACTCCAGTTTATTGCCTGTAAGTTCCTTCCATTCCTTAATCTCTACTCTCTACTAGACGATAATAAAACAAATTAGCGGGTCAAACACGTCTATTAAACTTCTTACGTTTAAGGGTAGAAATAATTGCAATTACTTTAATAGAGATTTTGTGTTTGTTTATTTTTTATACAAAGTTTTATGAAAGGTATAACATTACACAAATTAAATGTAGAATAGTACACACACAACAAAGAACAATTTTATCAAAAAAGCAGTACCTAAAGTTCATTTTTTTTATCTGGACTGCGGCAACGTTGCAAATTTAGGGTTTTGGTTGGTAAATACAGTTGTCAAGTTGGTCGCATTGATTAAAACAAACTAAGCTAGTTATAAATCTAATTGTGGTTATGTATACATTATTGTAGGTTACATTGTGCAGTTGTCAAGTTGAGTTGTCGAAATTCGTAGTTAAAAATGCAATTAATTTGGCTTTAGTGGTGCTTGGATGAGTAAAATCATATAAAAAAGTAGTTAAATATAGGTTGCTTTACGGCCCAGAAGAGAAATTATTCCTAGCGGATAATAATCTTCGCTTTGAAAAGAATTTATATAAAAGAAATTAAAATTCTTGTGAACGTAAATGTTGTCCAATGGTGAATAATGTGAAAATAATGTGTGATGTAATATTTATAAAACCAAATTCGTTACTTTTTTACTCCAAAAATGTCCATAAGGCTATGTACTTTTTCTTCCATTGTGGCATTTGGCATAATTTCATCAAAAAGTTTTGCCCTCAAAAGGGATTTTACATTAGAAATTCGTTGCTATTATTTTTGACATAATTATCTTTTTATTTATAATTGACAAGTAAATTATCAATAATAAATATTATTGTCAATTTGACAGTGTCAAAGTATTTAATTAAATTCTTTGGCAGAAGTACCATTTTAAAATACTAAAAATATCAAGTCAAACTGACATAAGCCACCAACCTAACAAAAAACCACGAGTCCAGATAAAAAAAATTAACTGTATCTAAGTGGCTTTTTATAACATTGTAATTTAATGCAGTTAATGCAAAAGTATTTTAAACAAATTACTAATTAATAATGTTTTAAATAACCTCAGAGGCCTAATCCCTTTTGTTGAACATGTATGTTCATGAACTTCATACGAAACATACGAAACATATTATGTTTCGTAACATAGGTGCCTATTAAATAGGCCCTATTCCATTTTAATTATTTCATCTATAGACGCATGCGCTCAAAAAATTTATTAAACATGTTTATAAACATCATCGGTGTCTAATTTGCTATTCCGTTTCCAAAATTCGCTGTTTCGTAAACATACGTGACATACGCACCTGAGAGGTGTTAGCCAATATTTGAGGATGTTTATCTTGTAATACATTAATGATAAATTGCGGCGATGTTTGGTACAGTATCATTATCAAGCATAGCGATTGTCTTAAATTAAGTAATCATGAATTAATTACTTTTTCATAATTAATACCTAATTAATTATAATTATAAATGATAAGTAATTATTTATAAATGAGAATGGGACAAATCACATAGGGGGTCACACCAAACAAAAAAAAAATGTTTGCAATTTTCAAAATATTTTTATGATTTGTTGTTTTAATTATTAAAATGTATTTTTTAATTGTCATAATAGTACAAAAATTCAATTTTTGCTTTACTAAGTTGTTTAATAAAATTAATTTATTTAGAATTTAGGGAGAGGGAGGTCAAGACTTTGCCAATATATGTTCAAGGGGGGCAAAGTATCTAAAAACGACTTCTAAAAACTATATATACATTGGTAAAATAAAAAATAACTTGGATAAAATATATTTTATTAAAAAAATAGAACAAATAAAAAATATCAAATACCTATGTAATATTAAAATAAAGACAAAAAAATAATCAAACAAAAGTATAAGAACTAATAAAATACAAAAAAATATGCATCCAAATTTTTTCTTCAAATGGGAGTTAAAACTTTTTTGTTTAATTTTAAAATTTCTTTTAGGTTTTAAAACCTCTACACCAAACACTCTACACCTTTGCTATTCATCAGAGTTTGAGTTGGACTTTCTCTTGGCCTCTTTTTGCCTCTCTGTTGTAAAAAGGGCCCTTCCACACAGCTTGTGTTGACCTTAAAGGCTGGTCAATGCAATGCTCGGCATGCTTAGTTCAAGAGTTGGTGATCCCTCCACCACTAACTTCCCTGTTAATGCTAGTAATTTATCCTCAATGTCATTAAGTTGTTTTACTAGCTAGCTCCCCGTGAGAAATGGGTAGTTTCCTTGCCCTTTCCCTTACATGGGCCATTTAAGGATGGACTGGAAAGATCTGCTCTTTTCATTTAATATATTAAATATCAGCAATTTTTAAAAATTATTTAACACAATTTTAGTTTATGATCTGCGACTTTTAGGTTATAAAACTAAGATAGTCTCTGCCCTGGAAACATTTATCGCTGTTTAGAAAGATTTAAGGTCAAGCCTTTAAACATACGAAAAACGGAATACCTTTTAACATAGGTGATGTTTGGGTTGCCATAGGATGAACATGAACAGCAAGAAAGGGAATAGGCCTCTTAAGGATGATATTTTTTGAACTACACAAATATATTAAATATTTAATAAAAATATAAAAGGTCTACGAAATATTTTATTGTTGCATTGGACTATACCCTAAAGGTATTACCTTTCCGAATGTTTATGATGCATCATGCGCTGAATTTTAAATTGACTTTAGAATTGCTCCATCACGTTAGGTTTTTGAGAAAATCTAACAAAGGTTGATAATTTTTTTTACATTATTTAATATGCCTCCCAAAAGTAATACTCTTTCTTTTAAAAATCATTTTTAATTATATCAAATAGAACGCAAAGAGTGATAGGTACTCAGAAAGAAAAGGTTTAGTTAGCCCAACTATTATTTGTTTCATTTAACTAAATCTGTTGTTTCAATAAAGCCAACCAAACATTTAGTTATTTTAACAACATTTAGTTATATTTTACTATATATTAATAATACCAGTGGTATTATTCCAGAAAATTGAACTTCCCTCGCTAGAGATAATGTTTATAGTGCGTTCCACCAACTTTCCACCTATTTTTTTAAAATTAAGATGCGTAGACAGCTGCCCTCATTGGCACCATTTCCACCTATTTAAGGTCTTTTTAGTCTCGAACAACTTGTAGTGTCACACCCACAGACCACCAAAGCTACATGTAAGTCAACATAGGCGAGATTTAAGAACATCACGTGATCCACACAGTTGATATAAAAATATGGGTCAACTAAATTAATATAGTTAAATTAACCATTCCTTTTTTTCTGTGTAGGTACTTTCATATAGCATAATGTACTCGTACGAGTTGTGAAGAAAGAATATCTGGTAGTATTTTTTCATTGATTTAAATAGGCCTTAAGGCCAGATAGCACAAGAGGTACCCAGGACGTCCATTTCGGGTCCCACATTGGTCCGAACGTCCCAGACCTATATCGGAAGTTTTGGGTACGTCCAGTATCTTACTTATTTAGGAAAATTAAAGCGGATATACTCGGTACGTCCCAGGGACGTAATTTTTGTTTTTGGCATTTAAGGCTTTTCAGGTTATGTATCTGTCAAAGTATAGTCAACGAAAGAAATAATATTATGTTTAGGCGTTAAAAATGTATAAATCTATATAACATTACAATACCATGGTTGGTATAAGAATTTAGGAATAGAAATACTGCATTTAATGAAATTCTAAAGTGTACCTATGGTGCCAAATAAGTAATATTTTTGTGCATTTGTTCCGAATATCGGGTTTTCTCTACAAAATAATTTTAAATAAACAGCATTATTGAAAAAAAATCTAGCTTCTCTATTATGGAATAAGTATATCTGTATTAAAGGTACCTAGGTTATTATTTTATAACAAAAATATCATCTAATTTTGTAATTTTAAGGTTAGAAAAATTTATTTTTACCAAAATAAATAAGTATTTTGGATTATTTGAAAGACTGTATAATATGGTATTTAAAAATGTGGTAGTTTTTCTAATCCAGCTTAAAGTTTAGGTACCTACATAAAGTTTTGTCAATACAAATAGTTATAAGTTCGACTGAATTTTATCTACATCGAAAAATCATAACTTTAAAAATTTTAATAAATCACATGTCATGGGAGTATTACATATTTTCACATTGCAAGTTTCTCTAAAAATTGTTTGTTTTCTTAAAATTTAACTTAGGTAGGTATACCGAGAGGTATGAACAAGTTTTGTCATTAGAAGTATAATTTATACTGTATAAAAGCTTCAATTTAATTTGAACCATATTCTACAATTATATAGTATACCTATTTTTATTAATGACCATATTAACACACTCCTCCAAATAATCCACTTATTTATTTTGGTCAAAATAGATTTTTCTAACCTTAAAATACAAAATCAGATGATATTTTTTGTTCTAATACATTAACCTACCTTTGATACAGATATTCTTATTTCATAATAGAGATTAGATTTTTTTTAAATAAATGTGTTGTAGTTAAAACTATTTTATGGAGAAATGTAGACCCAATGCACAAAAATATCACTTATTTGGCACCATACACTTTAGAATTTCATTAAATGCAGTATTTAATAAATACTATTTATATTCCTATATTCTTAAACCAACTATTAATAACAATTATTGTTATTGTGATACTATAAAGATATATTAACTTTTAACGCTTAAACATAAGCGGTAGCACTATAAATATTATTTCTTTCATTGACTATACTTTGACAGATACATAACCTGAAAAGCCTTAAATGCCAAATTTTCAAAAGACTGCGTTCCGTACCTAACTATATGTAGGCAACCCATGCATACCTCTCGCCTCTGTAGCACGATAGATAGTCCTATAAAGGTGGAATGCCTTAAGCTTCTAAGTAAGAATTTCTTACCTTCTGGCCAAATTACTGACCATATCGCTTCTGCTTGTAAGTTTTGAAGGGACACAGCTGGTCCTGTGGCCCA